CCCCAAAACCCCAAAACCCCAAAACCCCAAAACCCCATGACATGAATATGAAAGCTAAATTGGGATAAATAGAAACGAGTTTGTGTGTACTTAATTAATCAATCATTAATTAGGGAAGAATGGAGAAACTTTAAAATTATTTAACAAACCTCTACACTAAGAATTAGCAATTGTTCAGTAATTCCAACTAAGACCCTTTGAAGATCCAATCTATTTAGATGACAATCAATAGCAACTCAAAGATTGATTTTTAATTTAATCAGCAAAGCGAACCTAATTCTAGGAGATTAGACTTCAGAGGAAGAAGTAATTCGCCAAATAGATCTAATTAAGGAAAGTTGAACTCTAACCAAAATAGAGTCTAGGAAGTAAATTAGAATCATGATGATGACTACAAGTACTTTATCAGCACGAAGGTAGTAATGCTTGGAGAAAGCAGTGTTGGCAAATCCTCTTTAGTTTAGTAATTTATGCTCAACAGATTTATGCCAGGATTTCAGGAGCCAACAGTATCACCTCACTTTGTAAAGAAAATACAGACAATTTATAAGTTGGGACAGTAGAAGGTTTAGTTTAATATCTGGGATACTGCTGGCTAAGAAAAATATAGATGCCTTACTACAATGTACTTCAGAGATGCTAATGTAGCCATTATAGTATATGATGTGACTAATAAATAATCTTTGGAATGTGTGGATTACTGGGTGGATGAAGTTAACAGGTCTAATGCAAATGACTATTTTATTGTTCTTGTGGGAAATAAATGTGACCTAAGGAAGTTTAGATAAGTAACGATGGAAGAGGGATAAGCGAAGGCTAAATAAATAGGTGCATAAATTTACTATGAATGTAGTGCTTCTAATGAAAAATCAGTTCAGAATCTGTTCCAAGAAATTGGTATTTATCTTTATAAACTTTAAGAAGAATATGATGTCATTATACCTGAGGAGCATCTGGACATAGATGAATAACTTTTATCAAAGAGAATTGACTTTAGAATGAACAAATTCAAGGCCAAAACACTTATAAAAAAGAATTCCATCAAAATAAACTCAATAAATCATAGTAAAAAACACAGTCAATCAGACGTCTTAACTAATGATCATAGTTTTATTGAAGTAGATAAAGAATAGTAGAGTAAATGCTGTAATTGAATCAAATAAAAAATTAATACTGGTTTGAGATAATCATATATTCTAGGTATTTAGTTTTCCCTTTATAATATTAAAATGAATTAAGTACATTTTGGCGATTCGGGGTTTTGGGGTTTTGGGGTTTTGGGG